CTGTTCTCAGTATGCCCTTATTAATGACTGATTTCCTCATTAAAAAATGTCCAAGGCATGTGAGACAAAGTTTCACCACCCTTGCCTCTAAGGAGCACTTGGCTTATATTTCTTCCAAGACAAGATTTGTTTGTTCTGTTGTCCAGCGGAAGGATTTTCAGTACTCTTAATGAATGCCACAATTCAAAAGCAATAATTGTTCTTCAGTATTCCTTATTTCTTGTCCAACTTTGCATTCATACAAAGCAACTGAAAATACCATAACTTGGGTTAGGGGTACTCTACTCTTTAAACATGACATCTTTAGCACTTTAAAGAGGGCCTTGACAACAGACTTACTCAATGCAATGCATCTTTTGATTTCTTTTTTTTAATTTTTATTTTTTTATCTTTTGATTTCTTGACTGCTGAGAAAGGCTCAGAGAAGTTCTCTTCATTTATATGTGTTAGCTGGAGCTACATACATCTACATCTATGCCCAAGGCAGCAAAAAAAGTTCCAGACCATTACAGCGTTATCCTTTACCTCCATTGTGATGCCAGGCAGGTTTTTTTCTCAGTCAGTTCCTCCACTGACTTACCTTTAACATAAAAAGTTTGGATGAGCTGGTTTCTGTGGAAATTCATTGAGCTCTGGTGATGTTGTCCATTGGGAGTTGTACTGATCACCCAAAGGTGATACCTCTCTATCTGTTCAAACCCACCAGTGGCTTTGTGGAAGAAAGATAGGCAATCTACTTCTGTGTGATTTTCAGTCTTCAAAAACCTGTTGGAGGGTCAGCTTTGAGATGGTTCTAACTTGATGGCAATGAGGAAGAGAAGGCTTCTGAGGATTCTCCAGCTCTGCTCTGATCACCTAACTCAGACAATTAATGCCACAGAATTCAGAGAGAAGAGATATGATTTCAGGATGAGGCCAGTTACTGATCAACCAGTTTCTGAGCTGGGTCTTCATACATTCCTCCGGAGGAAAATCATTTCAGGAATTAGGGGGTTATAAGTCCAATGGTAGGATGGGGGTTTCTGTTGTTAGGTGCTGTTGAGTTAAGTAGGATTCATCATGGCCCTACGAACAGCTGACCTGAACCCTGCCCTGTCCTGTGCCATCCTCACTGTCTCTGACACACTAGAGGCCACTGCTGAAGTCACCGAGTCAATCCATCTCATCAGGGAGCATCATCATCTTGCTGACCTTCCATTTTTCCAAGCATGATGTTCCTCTCCAACGAATAGCCTCACCTAGCTACAAGGCCAAACTATACAAGACTAAACTTCACGATCTTTGCCTCCAAGGATCACTCTGGCTGCACTTTCTCCAAGACCTATTTGCTCATTAGGCAGTCCATGGGATCTTCAGTACTCTTCTCCAGCATCACAACTCAAAGACATCTGTCACCCTTATTCACTATCCAGCTCTCTGATGCATAGCAGGTGATCAGAAAGACCATGGCCTAAATCAGGCACACCTTAGTCTTCAAACTGACATCACTGCTCTTCAACATTTTGGAGAGGTCTCTGACAGTGGACTTGCCCAATGAAATCTGTCTCCTGATTTCCTGCTGCTGGTACCAAGCATGTTAATGGTTGATCTAAGAAAGATTAATTGACAGCTTCAAGCCTTTCTTCATCTAACATCATGTTGACTGCTGGTCCCATGGTGAGGACCTTTGTTTTATTGAGATGTAATCCAGTACTTGATCTTTTGCAGCAAGTGTTTCATTCCTCTTCACTTTCAGCAAGCAATGTTGTATCATCAGCACAACACAGGATGTTGATGGATTTTCCTCCAATCCTCATGCCACATTCTTCTTCTTCATAGAGTCTGCATTACGAATGATTTGCTCAGCATACAGATTATAAAGTAAAACAAGGAAATGGGCTCTGGATGACGAAGTCAGGCAGTGGAAGGGTTTGCATCCAAGTCTAGGTGTGACAGGTCCACCCTCACCTGCACTTTAGAGCACTGCGTGGAAACGCTGAGGCTCAGATCTCTCCTGCAGAGATTTAGACTTGAGTCATCTTTGTCCAAGCCTATCTGGGCACAAGTGTAACTGGGTCTGTAGTTCCTGGCCGTTATTAGCATCCTTTAGTGCCACTCATCGGTGCCTCAGACTTGCACAATGTCATCTGTGGCGAAAGGCAAAATACCTAATGACTGTATGTGCTGATCTGGGGCTGGGCTCATGTGAAGCTAATAGGCAACCTCTGAAAATCTGGGACTATGTTCTTCCCAAGTTTTCTGAGTGTAATGAGTAGGCAAAAGTTTATAAAATGTAGAAAAGCTCACTATAGTCTCTCATTTTATGTATATTAGGACCTTCAAATTTTTCTAAAAAAATAAAACTTGGACCTTTTCATAAGAACAAGTATTTTGAAAATCACGGCATGCACAAATTAAACCATCGGTACAGAAAGTAATGCTAAACCAGAAGCACCAGGAATGTGTGGACTCTGAATTTTAGGTGGAGATTTTAGCAGGTCCCAGTAAACTGTGTTCAGCACCAAGGACAGCGACAAGGCAGCAGCTTGCTTTTCTGTTGCCTCAAAAGTCTCAAGGATTTTAAGGCAGAGATGATCTTCCAGACCCATCCTATTAGAGTCTCTTCAGGACAAAGGGCCATTCACCTTCTTCTTGCACACCTCCAGGGACGAGTCCCTCACTATTGATGCCTTGGTAAACGAACAGTTACAACTCTTGAAAACCCTTTCCAACCTTTTTAAGGCTATCTTTTTAACATCAATTTGCCAGACATGTCTGTGTATTTCTAGGCTGTGCCCTCTGTTCTGTTTGTCAGAAAAGAGTGTAATCTGAGACCAAATAATGTAAGTTCTCATATTTTCTTATTCTTTTTAAAAATCGCTTTGACTAGTCTAGGTTTTTTTCCTTTCAAGTTTAAAAGTAGCCTGTCAATTTCTACAAAAGGTTTGCTGGGGATTTTGCTTGGCATTGTATTGACTCTGTGGGTGTGGCTGAGAGGAATGGGCATTTTAACAATCTTGAGTCTTTCAGTCCATGAGATCAGTCTAGCTCCAGGCTTTCTTTAGGTTTTTATTGTAGTTTCTAGCATACAAATAGTCCACGGATTTTGTTAGACTTATTCTTAAATGTTTTGGGATGCTATTGTAAGGAGTGCTTTTAAAATGTCAATTTCCACTTAGAAATAGAATGACTTTGGTTTGTTGATTTTGTATTCTGTGACCTTGCGAGTCTCTCATGTTAATAATATTAATTTTTAGGAGGATTGCCTATCTATGTATATGATCATGTTTGTGGAGGGCTTTATAGGGAGGTTATTCTGAAAACAAATTTAAAGCTATAGACAATGACAAGTCATACTAACAGAAGTAGAATAACAGCATTTAAAGAGGTCTAGGTCCCGACTCTCTAAATATATGAGTATGTTATGCTACATGTCTAAAGGGATTAAGGTTGTAACCAGAGGGCCTAAATGGGGAGATTTTCCTAGGTCTGCATAGATTCAAGGTCCTGTGTAGCCTCCATTCTCCTAATGGATCTCACTCACAAAAAACAAATCCAAAGATGAGAACCAAAAATCAAACCCACTGCCATTGACTCCATTCCAATTCAGAGCAGCCTCACAGGAGAGAGAACTGCCCCATAGGATTTTAAGGCTGTAGCTATCTACGGAAGCAGACTGCCTCATTTTTCTTTCATTGCTTTCGTAGAGAAGCTAGTGGATTTGAACCACTGACTTAATATTGGTTAGAAGTCAAATGCCTTAAAGTGCCAGCAGAACTCCTAAGATAAGAAATTGCTGCTGTGTGTCTTAGAGTCGGAATTGACTTATCACTGACCCTTTAGGGGGTTTTCGGAGGCAGAAAATACATGGGAGGAGACTCCCCATCTTTCTCCCCTGGAGCAGCTGGATTTGAACCGTGTGCCTGTAGTTTTGCAGCACAATAGATCATTGTCAAATTGTGAATTTTGCTTCTTAGGGACCCTAGTAGTAAGAAGCTGCGCTGCAATCCCGATGTCACGCGGTTCGAATCCACTAGCTGCTACGCGGGAGAAGGCTGGGCATCTTTCCCCTGTGCTTTTAACTGCCTCTGAAAGTCCGCCAGAGGGTCAGCTCTATGTCGTCGGTTCCGACTTGAAGGCACAAAAAGCAACACTGACCCCTCTCAATAGCACAGGACACGAGTCACTCAAGTTTGCACAATATCTCCAATCTTTGGACGCAGCATTCAACCTGCGAGGGCTCCGGGCGGGGGAAGGGGGGGCGGGGGAGGCTGAAGGCGTCGTGACGCCATACTCAAGGCACGCAGTCTGCAAGTGAGCTTGGGGCATGGGCGACCCATGATGTCATGTATGTGAGCACATTCGTGGTAGGGGAGAGGTGCGGCCCTGGGGGGGGGCTCTATGACGTCATGCCCACTATGCTATCCCCTCTGCGTGTGGGCTTCATGACGTCACAGTGCAGTGCACACCCCCTGGCGCCGTGGGGCGGGGTGTGAGCCAGGCGGCGCCGTGATCTCCCGGGCATGGCGTCCAGTCTCCTGCGCGTGTTGGCCCTGGACTTGTGACGTCGTGCGAGCGATGAACTGTCTCTGCGCGCGGGTGGGCTCGGGCGCGGTGGCCCCGTGACGTCACGCGCGCGGAGGCCCCAGCTTGCGTCGGCGGGAGGGGCGGAGGGGGCGTGGCGCCGTGACGTCGTGTGTGCAGCGGGCTGGGTGGCGCCTTGACGTCATGCGCGGAGGCCCGGGCTTGCTTCGGCGGGAGGGGCG